AAACCTATAAACAAGATTTATTAGTGATTCCAAGTCATAGTGATTGATCTACTTACGGGGATAATGTCTAGGATGTAATTAGTGAGGTGTTTAAAGTGGGATTTCCAACCAGTATACTTCGTATACCAAATGGATCCTACCTCCGATATGATCTTACCTGGTTGTTCCTTACTTGATAGATCATGAAAGCAGACTTTGAGTTAATGATAAATATTGAGTAATACCTAGCGCATTAAAGATTAGACTAAAACTTAGCGATAATAATGCTAGGTTTCGTCGAAGGAAAATAGAATTGTTAGAAGCGAAGCACTGCCCGAGTTTGGAATAATCACTTTAACAAGTGAGTGCATATTCCCTTTCATGAACATGATTTTAATACAAGTATTAATTAAAGTATTAAAGATTTGTTAAAGAGTTCAATATTTGTTAAAGAGTTTATGTGTGAGTGCATAGTCCCTTTCATGAACATGATTTTAATACAAGTATTAATTAAAGTATTAAATATATGTTAAAACGTTAAATATTTGTTAAAGAGTTTATGTATGAGTGCAGAGTCCCTTTCATGAACATGATTTTAATACAGGTATTAAATAAAGTACTAAATGCATGTTAAACAGTTAAATATATGTAAAAGAGTTTATGTGTGAGTGCATAGTCCATTTCATTGACATGATTTTAATATAAGTATTGATTAAAGTATTAAAAATATGTTTATGTGTGAAATATTTGATATTGTCTGAAATGCGTGTTAAGAGCATATCTAATAATATATGATGATTTAGGATAAAGAGTAAACTTAAATTAATTAAGAGGAATTTTGGGTAGTATCTCCTTATGAGTATGAGTGAGATATACACGGAGGGTAGATATGAAGCTACTCACCAAGTTTCCCAACCTGATCTACTCAGTTTATTTGTATCACAAGTGTCGATATAAAGTTATATTACACCGAGAGATTAAGAGATATGTAGATCACTAGTGTAAATGAATGTAATGGCTGTCTATGCTTATGTTTCTGTATTGATGATGATATCCCAATGTTTTAAAATGAATAAAATATATTTCTTCGAAAATGCTTTGATAATGTATTTATCATGTTTTTCTGGGAACAATTTCCACAACATTTTCTTTAAAATGATACTTTGATTTTCAAATAAAGAATAAACAAATCGGTTTTTTCTGGCCGTGAAATTAAGGATGTCACAAGCAACGTACAAAAGACCAATGTACTAACAATTTTTACGAAATGAACAAAACGATTAGAGAATTGAGCGAGACATACAACAACTTGCTAACTCAACAAAAAAGTGGGGAACGAGATAAAACTATTTTCAAAACAACGCTTCAACTTTTTCAAATTGATAACAATAGAAGGCCATTCAAATTTATCGAAGTTTAATAGTTTTTAGCTACGTCTTGAAAGAGTGTTAAAAAGTATGGTAGCGAAGAAGGTGGTTTTAAAAAAACCAAAGTTTCCAAGATGAGTTACACTAATTCATTTGGATGCTCATTTCGGGGTTGATTTTAATGAAAAGAATGAGCTCAAACTCGAAAAGGTCCTCTGCCCGATAGGTCGAGATAAGGTGAAAATGAGAGAGTCTTTGTCTAATGCATCAAAAGTTAAAAGCGTTAAAAGAGGAGATAGAGTGCAAGTGTCGAATAATTTTGGACTTTATAATTTGAATTTCAAAACTCGTTTGCAATTTGAAAAAGAGAGATTAGACAAGAAAAAGAAAGCACGATAGGAGAAGTAAAAAAACACGAGAAGAAAAAACAAAAAAAAAAACTCAAAATATGGAATTTTTAACATGAAACATTGAATATCTCACCTCAAACGAGTTCCAAATGTTTTTGAGAGCTCGAGATGAAATCATGGAAAACTATTTCAATTATATTTATTTTGTAGTGTTTTTATTCAATTGTTGTTTTAATGAACGTAATTGTTTTTAATTGAGTTAATGAAATATTTCATTTTTATATTTACAAATAGGAAAAACTACAATAAAGTCTCTACATACTGACCTTATAATCTATTTAGTTCTTATATATATTTTTTTATTCAATTAAGTCCCAAATACCGGTAATCGTATTCAATTTAACCCTTTGACCCGGTCAACAGGTCATCTAACTTTCAAAAATTACATTTTTCGCCCAGATTTCAAAATTTATTCCAAATTTGGTCCAAATTTACACTTTTGACCCAGATTTTAAATTGTTTTACAAATTTGGTCCAAAATTTACCCTTTTTGCCCAAATTTTAGAACTTTATTATGAATTCATCCTAAATTTAGTTTTTTACAACTTTTTTTCTTAAAATTTTGTTTCTAATATGTTTTTTCCTTTTAAACTCATATTTATACACAAAAAAACATATTTTCACATAAAAATCTTATTTTTTCTATATAAAAACCTTTTTTAAAAAGTTTTTTGTATATAAAGTATCTAGTTATAAAAATAGGTTTGAATTATTTGTATGATATCTCTTAAAAAATCAATTAAGAAATTAAAAGTAAGCCTAAATTATAAAAACAAGTTTGGATTATTTGTTGTTTAATCACATTTATATGAAAGTTTAAACTAGTTACATTATATATGAAAGTTTAAAATATATATAATATAATAATATTATATTTTATTCGTAAGATTTTTTTAAAGAAAAAAGTTAAAATCATAACTTTGATACATTTTTTATAACTTTTTAATAAATATATTGTCTAAATAAAACATATCCATTCATGACACGTGTCCGATCTAGGTTGTGATTTTTTATTGCCAATCAACCTCTTCTTACTTGGATTATTTATAATCTTGTATTTCCTATATTTTTTAATGTCTGTTATACGGAATATCGGTTGCAATTTATTATCGATAAACATGTTTTTAGGGGAGTGAGAAATGAGCAAAAATACAATAGCAACATAAATATATAAAATATTATAACTATCAATAACATAATAGAATACTTCAACTAAAGTTTTAAAGAATTTACACATGAGTTTGGTTAAAAAAAAATTACTCAAACACCTGAAACATGCTTGAGTTGAGCTTTACAAGGAAAGTATCACAACCTACTAAAAAACATGATGTCAATTTTTTTTAATAAAATGGTTTTTTCCTATGAACTACAATTAAGAACTGATATTATTTTTCCTATAAATGTGATTAAAGAACAAATAAATAATATTAAAATGAGTATAACTAGTTTTTGAAAAATTATAACTTTATAGTATAATTTAAGGTTACTTTTAATTTCTTAATTGATTTTTTAAGAGAAATCACACAAATAATCCAAACGTATTTTTTTAAGTAGAAATTTCATATACAAAAACTTTTAAAAAAAGTTATTATATAGAAAAAATAAGATTTTTATGTGAAAATATGTTTTTTTTTGTATAAATATGAGTTTATAAAGAAAAAACATATTAGAAACAAATTTTTGAGAAAAAAAAAGTTGTAAAAAAACTAAAGTTAGAATGAATTCATAATAAAATTCTAAAGTTAGGCAAAAAGGATAAATTTTGGAGCTAATTTGTAAAAAAAAAAATATAATTTGGGGAAAAAGTGTAAATTTTGGACCAAATTTGTAATAAATTTTGAAATCTGTGCTAAAAATGTAATTTTTAAAAGTTTGATGACATGTTGATCGGGTCAAAGGGTTAAATTGAATACGATTACCGGTATTTGAGACTTAATTGAATAAAAAATATATATAAGGACTAAATCGATTATGAGACCAATATGTAGGGACTTTATTACAGTTTTTCCTTACAAATATGCATTTCAAATATTTAAATAATTATTAAATTACATTTTTAAAAAAGTGCGGTAATGTATGTTACCATTTTCTATAAGTTTTGTGGGGTGAAAGCAGAGCATGAAGAAAATGATGTGACGTTAAACTGATAGCCAAAAACATGGTAAGGTGAGGTATAACACCATTTGATTTTAGAAGGGTGGTTGGCCACATTTTTTATAAATTAAAATTTGAACATTTAAAAAAAATTGCTAAAAATTAAAATAATAATAATAATAATAATAATAATAATAAAGTCTTAAAACCTTACAAACTTCAAAACTTGAAAAATAGAAAAGGTACTAAGATACTGTCTAAAGGAAATCTTCATCCGAAAATTGTTCTTCTAAATGATTGACAGGGTCTTCGTTAAGATTAATATGGTCGACTGTCCAAACATATATCTTTCGTCAACTCTTCTTTCCAAATACTCTTGTTCCAACCTCAAATGCTTGTGTTGGTGGAACAGTCTGGTTTTTCGTTATACTCACATATTGTATTTACTTCATCTTTGAAAATCATATTATACGATACGATCCAGTTACATCAACATTACATCTCTCATTTTCTTCTTCACAACAAAAATTGCGGGGTACTTCAATATATGCCAATGTGTTGTAAGAGCTCCATGGTTGTATCTATCACCAACTCAAAAATTCACGAAGATGAAGATGAGAACATTTTAAGAGAGAAGAAAGAAGAAGATTTTGGAATGGTATAAAATGGTGTTTAAAGGTTGTATATACAGAGTTTGAGAATTGAAAAAAAATAGAAAAAAACTAGTACTTGTTGATTGGTAGGTGGGAGATGGGGTGACCTCGTTGTTGAGTTGTGATCACCGGATATATGGGGCTTGGCGTGATTGCGCCAAGGTCGCATAGTCCGTGACGAGCTCAATGTCAATGTCGAACAACTGCCTTACATGACAATGCATAATTTCCCCCTTTTTAAGGATATTATATATAATATGTTGTGATCAAAATAATAAATCTTATGAACATTAACTGATAGTTAAGAACTGCACCATGCATGAGTTTTATTAATTGTTTGTCAAACGAATACAATTAGTTAAATTATACACAGAATAATGAATAAATAAAGAATAAAAAATAAATTAATCAAGAGTAACAACAAATTGTTGGAAAAATGTTTTAGGAGTTCTTGTAAGGTCAGTAATTCAATGCAGGCACCAGTAACGTTTGCTGGTTCATTGATCTGTAGAAGTTGGAGTAGAAGTTGGATAAGGAGTCAGTGATGGTGGTGGTGGACCACCACTATGAAGATGGCCAACAACCTTCCTGGAGCCGACACAAGGGTTACCGCAGCCGCCTGTGTTACAACATCCGTTTCCTGGTGGCCGAACAGTGCCTTTTTGTAGAGAGGATAACAGGAGGTTTCCAGTCTTCATCCATGTTTCTTCAAACTCTCTATTCAAAAGTCTACAAGCTCTATTTGGTTCGACACTCATGAATAGAAAAATAAAGGCTGCGGTTATGGCAAAAACTTTGATTTCTAATCTCATGTTTTTTCTCGTGTTATTTCAAACAAAATGAATGTAGTGGGTGAAGGGAGAAAAGAGAAAAGGTGTTGAGGTTTGATGAATCTGCATGAAGAGGAGAGGGTTATTTATAGATTTAATATAGTTTGACTTTGACTTGAATATTTCTAGTCTCTAATGGGGATTTGGAGATTGAATAGGTCGTATGATAATATTATATATGTGGATACTTCAAACCGATGGTAAAAGTCGAAAGCCATCTAAATCCGCATACTAAATAGTAAAATACTATTTGACACTTTTCTTTTAAAAATCAAATAATTATTTTAATAATATAGTTTTCGGAGCCATGCGTTGTTCTAAAAAACGTTTTCATAAACATGTTTTTCTTGTTAGTCGTTTGTGTATGCACCAAGAGAAAGCGATCGACATCGTATTGCTACATTTTCCCACTTTGCTGATTTTAATTAAGATACCGATAAAAAAAACTTGTAACTTTAGTTGTAACCTTGTTTCATATAATATTAATCGAAGAACTCATATAATACTTAATTAGTTGTCCAATAATATATGATTTTCAATTTAGTTAAGGCCATACGATGCACCCTTAACCACATATTACGGTTGTTGAGGTGGCATCACAATGTGTGATAAACATGATGATCCTGCGATAAGGATACCATGTGAAGTTATTGTTGTATCCTTTTTCTTTGTTTTTTAACCGTTTGAGTGCTATATGTGTGTGGTATATCAGTTTTGTGGAATATGAGAAAAATTATATATGTGGCAATGATGTGACAACACGATAGTATGGAATGGTGTGGTATGACATCTATCATGGTTTGATATGACACCCACCAACCTAATGGTATTTGTATTGCATCGAGAAGAATATAAATGCATTTACTAGAAAAAACAAGTATTTAGTAATGCATGATATTAAAATTAATAATTTCATATAGATGTTGAATAACAAATGTTTTTATTTCTATCAGACTTTATTATAAGCAATCCATGTCTAATTTTAGATTTTTCATAAAACTGTTTAAATGTTTTTATATCCCAATTTCAACCCATTGCTCATGTTTCTTAAATTAAAAGATTACAAGGATTATGTTTTAAAGAAATTAAATATCATTATATTTCTATTTATATTTATCCTAACAACCGTATGAAATGATAACAAATGTTTTAAAATGTTATTACCATTTCAAATGGGTACGAGGATAAAATAAAGAAAAGATAAAAAGATATTTAACTTCTTTATATTTTATTAATGAAAAATTAAATATTCTTATATTTTTGTTCCTACTTTTGTTACTACTCTTATAACAAAATGACATATTCAATCTATTAATTTTATCTTTTTTTTTAATATTTGTTTTAATCTAATAAAAAGAAAAAATTGAAAGATATCTGATTTTAATGGTTCGAATTCATACCAAATCAGTTTAGCTTTGTTCTATTTTCAGTTTTATTATTTTTATTTTTATTTATTTATTTATTTTTTGCTCTGATACCCTTAAAAATGGAACAAGCAATATTATATTATATTAAATAATTAAATTATGGTGGGAAGCATGGAGTCATGATGGCTTGTTGGTAAGGAGATTATTATTAACTTTTAAAAAGGTAAAAATAGAAAAGGCTAAATTACACCATTCGTCCCTCGTGTACATGTCAGAAAGCGTGTTTAATCCCTATTTTCAAAAATTAACTCGGACCATCCCTTGTTTGTTTTAACCTTACACGCTTCATCCCTGAAAGACGATTTTGTTGCAAACTTAGTCCATGCCTAATTTAAAATGACCACAATACCCTTATATTTTATTTTTTAAATTAATTTAATGTTTTTATTATGAATTCCAATTAAAAAAATAAAATAAACCCCCTCCCCTTCATTTTCCCCAACCCATCCATCCCTTCATTGTTACTGATCGGAAAGAAGCACCCAAACATAACATACAAACTGCAGACCACCACCACCGTCTCCACCATCTGACGAACATTCCTCACCTCTTTCTGATGGGTGGTTGTGGTCTTCGTTCTAGAGCCTTTTCATCGGAATCTAGTGCTCGTCTTCTCTGGCGGAAACGACGGGATCTAACGGAGGCTCCTGCGATGGTCTTCGACCTCTTTCTCTACCCTCTTTCTTAATCTAAATCTGACAGAGGCTCCTTTCGACGCCCACCCTCACCGTCACCGGCTCACATGTGTGCCGCTATTAACGTCGGTTAGGGTTTCGACAGATCTTCGTTTAAAACATCTATCTCTACAGTCATAATCGAAGCTCCACAGTTGAGTCTACATTTGTTCAACTGAAAACCTTCGTCTTCGTCACCACCTGTTCGCCGAAGATGGAGCGTTCATCGCCACTTGTTGGGTTTTACACCGGTTTGGGCTAGGTATTTGAGAGTTACAGGTCGGATTTGCAGATGCGTGATCGGCTGATCGCCAGTGGAGTTACAGAAAATAGGAGAAGGTTTCTGAGCGAAACTACGATGGTGATGCTTTATCGGAAGTCGACGATCACCTTCTTCACCGGTGCCCCACCATCAGAAGTCGTCGATGAAGTGTTAGATGGAGGGTTTTAGATCGAGGTGTTACCAGAGAAATAAGGAGGTGAGAAGAGGGGAGAACGGAAGTGTCATAAGGAGGGGTGTGGATTTTTAGTTTATTTTCTTTTTTATTATTTAAAACAAATAAGGAAATAAAAGAAAATCTAAAAAGAATTAATCCAGGGTAAAACAGTCATTTCATGTCAATAGGGACTAAGCGTGCAAGAAAAATCAAACCTAGGGACGGTCCAAGTTAAATTTTGAAAATAGGGACTAAACATGCTTTCTGGCATGTACACAAGGGACTATTGGTGTAATTTACCCAATAGAAAATAGAGAAAATACTGAAATAGTCAATGCATTAGAAAAACACCCACACCTAGCAAGACATAATAGTGAGCAAAACAAGAACAAATCAAGTCAACTTACAAACAAAGAGAATGAATGGGAAATACACCAACTAGACTAATTACAAATCCACATTTTATCCCTATGCTTCACCAAAAAAAAAACAAAGGAGATAACATCATCTATAACCCAAGATATAGAAACAACACGCATGTTAAACACCCTAGCATTTCTAGCTTTCTACATACTCCAAATAAGACCATACACGATCATGGTGAGAATGCATCTCATTTTGGGACATCTACCCCAATTATTAACGAACTCTAAAAGGCACGAATACTAGAGAAAAACGGGAGAGATATCCCACATCAAGTGTCAATCCAATCCCTCACCTTCTACGTAAAAAGGCAAGAAATCATAATATGGTCGTCATTCTCCACATAAACCACAAGTTGTAGACGCAATGGGGATGCCCCGAACAGAGATAGCCTCCACATCGGGAAATTCTACCTATGGCAGCCTTCCAGACAAAGCCCAATACTTTTATAGGAATTTCTTTACATCTAGCTACCACCTGATTCGACTCAACACCTGGGTTCTGATCAACAATTAACCGCAATGCCTCCACCGCGTATGAACCATCCAAAGTCAATAGGAATCTCCAAATTTCTCCACTTGGCTCATTAATATCCATTTGCATTCATAAAAACGAGATTAAATTTTTGTATGTCGTTTTTTGCTTTTGAGATATTGTTCTAAACATATGTAATGGAACTTCTAGAAATTTAATGGTGGGGCTTCCATCACGCTTATGGATCCCTCTAATGGCTTTACACCATAGTGAGGAGGAGCTAATCTTTAACCGTCACCACCACTTCACAATTAGGCCCATGTTGAGGGCATAGATAGAACTGAAACCCAACCCTTATTTTTCCTTAAACGTGACTACCTTCTCCCAAGACATTAAATGAATCTTCTTTTTCTCATCCGTACCTCCCCAAAGGAACCGTCTCCTATTTTTTTTCAAATGACTTAAGGACACTTATCAGAGCTTTAAAAAGAGAGATATAGAAGGTGGGTAGATTTCTGAGCACTGACGTAACAATGGTGATTCAACCTCCAAATGAAAGGTATTTAGTTTTCCACAATGAAATTTTGGCTTTGAAACGGTCAAGAACGGGTTCCTAATTCTTCACAAGGTTCATATTAGCTCTGATAGGCACACTGAGATACTGAAATGGAAGAGGACCCGAAAAAAAACCTAAAATATTATCCCACTCATTCGTTTTCTCAAGGTTAGCCCCAATTCCGAAAACCTTAAATTTTAGAGAAGTTGACCTTCAATTCTGAAGAAACATGAAAACAACAGAGGATACTTGCGATATTTTTGATATTTCTTTTTGACCATTCACCCATAAAAGGGCATTGTACGCATAAAAAAAAAAGATGTGATAGATTGGTTTTACAGTTGGGATTTTAAAGTCTTTGAAGATACATTTTTCTTTAGCAGCCTTTATCGCTACATTTAGCCCATCCATAGCCACCATAAACAGGAAAGGTGACATTGGGTCCCCTTGACGGACTCCTTTGAAAACATTGAACTCATATGTGGATCATTCGTTCACCACGAATGAAGCACAGGAGGCGAAGAGGCAAGCCTAGATCCATCTATGGTATCTATAACTGAACCCAATATCTAGTCAAGAACCGAGTCAAGGTATCCCCAATTAATTGAGTCGAAGGCTATATCGAAATCCAATTTGAAGACAAGGACTTTCATGTTCGACTTTTTAGCCCACGCACAAACTTCGTTCTCAATTAAGGGTCAGCCCATGATGTTCCGCCCCTCCACATAAGCAGATTGAACCTCGTCCAAAACGGATCCAATAAATAAATTAATAAAAAAACAAATCTATAAATGGCCTTGTTGAATATCAAGTTTGTGATGAGTTTTCTAGGTTATAAAAAAAATCATGTGGCGGAAAAACACTTAAACCCTTATGCTCACATGCAACCTAGAAAAGATCTATGTTTTCTCTATTGATAGCAATAACCTATGGACATCAAGAAACCCTAGAGAGTGGCTATGAAAATCGAAATTAACATAAATATTAAGGT